GGAAAGAGCTGGTCCCGAGCTGGCACTGCCCAATTTGCTGTGTGACTTTGGGCTTGCCATTCCTCCAGGCCTCTGCCTCCTCCTCCAATAAGGATCGGAGGGAAGCTGGGGTTGCTGACTTCTGAGGTGTGAGATTCTCAGCAACTCTTCTGAAGGGATCAGGAGGGACAGGGGCAAGGCTAGGGGCTCTGGTTTCCCCAACCAGTCAGAGATTAAAGCAGAAAAGTTCATGTCCTCTCTCCTAACCTGCCAGGTCTGTATCTCAGGACTAGAATGTATCACCTGAGACTAAACCAGCTGCAGCCCCTCAGGATTGGGGAAGATGCTGGATGACGGTGAGACCCCCAGGAAAGTCTTTTGGGTCTTTAACATCTGTACAAAAAAGGCCTTCTAGCTGTAACAGTACAGGACTCTCTGTGATCCCAGAACCACATTTTAGGGCTCAGGCCAGGCGGCTGAGAGGTCAGAGGTGAGAGGTCAAAGGTCAGGGCTTACCAAAGGATCGTCCAACTGCACTCGCTCTAACACAGCCTTCTGCTCCAGCAGCTCCTGGGGGCTGCAGTTCAGGATGTTGTGGCAGATCCCAGCCACGTGGCTGCACTGGGGGAAGAGGAGCAGGCTGTCCAGCCTGAGCCAGATCCCTCCCACCTCATCCCCACTCCCCCGAACACCCCACACTTACAATCCTGAGGACTTGGCTCTCCTTCTCAGCTGCCGGAGAGTCCTGGAAGCAGTGAGAGAACAGGGACCTTCCCTGAGTAGGGGCACTGCCTTCACTGGAGGGCAGGGTGGGTTCCCTGGAGTACCTCCCTGCCTCCCTCATCGGGCCCCTAAAGTCTGCCCCCTGACACCAGGCTCCCAGAAGTCACCATACTTGCCCTCCTTCTCCCCCTTTTAAGAATCAAACTTCCTGAGTTGCCCCTGCCAGGTAGGATACCTGGTGTCCCCATTGCCCCCTACCCAGTGGCTGGACGCCTCTCTTCCTGCCCTTGCCTCTTCCTGCACTCACACCCAATCCTGTGCTGATTCACAGGTTATAAAAAGCTCTTGCCTGATTTGGTCTCTACAGCCTGGGCCAAGCCTGGCTCCTGGTTCTCCTACCTCCTGCAAGACCTGGCCCAGCTTCCCGCACAACTCCCCAATCTCCTGGCAGGCCGAGAAGTCATTTAAGTGGGAGAAGAGGTACCTGGCAGGGAGAAGGATGGAACAGCGGTTAGGGGACTGTACTTAACAGTCAAGTCATAGAACCACTTGGAGCCGACTACTGATATGAAATGTGGGGTAATACCTGCTCTGATGGGTTTTGGTTTGAGGTAAAGGAGATGATTGACACTATAAAGAGCTTAACTAACACAGGACTCATTTGTCAAGCACCTAATACGTACCAGACCCTGTTCTACATAGATATTAAACATATAATTTCGTCAGTAATGATTTAACTTCAACTGCTGTGAAGTGTGGAGAGCTCTAAGAGTATATAACAGGGAAGGCTTCCCTGAGGAAGTGACATTTGTGCTAGGATCTGTGGGACAAGCGGCAACCAGTAAAGGGGATGGAGAAGCTCTCTATGCAATGTTATCGATATGACTGCTATGATTATAACCTGGGGGGTGGAGTGGGAACCCAGGCATCTCAGTGCCCTGTGCAGACCAACTAACCTCTTTGCCCTGCTCCACCATATCTGAACAAGAGCCAAGCTCTGTTTTTCTCTTTCGAGCCCTAAGCCCTGAGGAGGCCAAGGAGGTTCCCTCACCAGTCACCCCAACCCAAGCCCTGGGAGGAACCTAAGGTACCTGTTGAGCCAGAAGAGGAGGGTACGAGCCTCATGCACCACATCCACAGCAGCGCCAAGGACATCGGCAGGGGCCTCAGCACAGCCCCCCAGGCGGCCTTGGACTAAGCTCCTGAAGGCATGGGTCCCCTCTAGCAGCCCCTCTGTCAGGCTCTGCAGGTTCTCTGTCTGTAGCCCAGAGCTCTATGCCAGAGAGGGGCAGTCACTTCACTGGCAGTGGGTAGTCCATCAGCAACAGCCAGGTGGGTGGAAGCTACAGCCAGTGTGGTCACCATTTACTTACTAGGGCCCGGAGCTGTTCCACCCCTTCCAGAATGAGCTCCTGGTGTCCCAGAGGCCACATGGTCAGAGCCTCGAGGCTGTGGGGGCAGAGCTGGAGTAGGTACTTGCCAGGTAGCTCCCAGTCCTCAAAGCAGTAGTCCTGCAGGGAATCATCAAGGCCTAGAGGGCCAGCAGAGGTCAGCATGGAGGGAGCCAGGGAGTGTCATGGTCTTTCTGGCCACCACCTCACTCCTGCAAAGCCTTTTCCCTCCCATCTGTTTCTAATGACAACCCTGAAACTTAAACTGTGTTCTGCCCATTTAACAGATGAGCTAATGACGTTGAGAAGTAAGATAGTTTAGGGCAGTGGCTCTCAAAGGGTGGTCCCCAGACTAGCAGCAGCAGCTTCACTGGAGAGCTAGTTAGAAATATGAATTCTCGGCCCCACCACATAGCTCGGGTGGGGGGCGGGGGCGGTGAGGGAGCGAGTGTTAGGGCTCAGCAGGTGTTCTGATGCTTGCTTGTCTGAGGACTACTGAATAGGAAGAGCATGGGGCTTTGAAGTCAGGGAAACCTGAATGCCAGCATTTAAGCAAGTAACTTTGTGCCTCAGTTTCCACATCTATAAAATGGGAATAATAAAAGCACCTACTTTCTAATCGTGTGAGTATAAATGACATGATACATGTCAAACACTTGGCCCGTTTCCTGGTTCATGGTAGACAGTCAGTGACAGCCACCGTATTATTATCACCAGACTTTTACATGATCTGCAAGGCTGGGTATAATCAGGCTGCCGCCTGCCTCCGCAGTCTCATCTCTTCGCACAGTCCCTCAAACTCAACACTGCGGATCCAGAGCACAAACTTCCTGTAGTTCCTAGAATGCTCTTTTGCCTCAGGGTCCTCACAGGTGCTATTCTATCTGGATTGCTCTTCCAGCTCCTTCACTCCTTTTTTTCATCCAACTCTCTCCAGGAAACGTTCCACAACACCCCAGCCTGGGTATGGGGCCTCTCCTGCTCTCACTGCCCCCTGAGCCTCCACAAATCCCTGCACTTGAGCATTGACCTCTCCCACTTTAACAAGAGCTCTTCAAGGACCAGGCCTTAAATAATGGCTCATCTCTGATTCCAGCCTATGTCTGACACAAGGTACACCCTCAAAAATAAGAAAAATATCTACCGAATGCTTACTACGAGCTGGGCAAAAATTTAAGGGCTTTAAACATATTCATACATTTGATCCTCACTGAATCTAGAAGGTAGAGACTATTTCATCCCCATTTTACAGATGAGAAAACTGGTATGAATAGAGGTTAACGGCTTGCTCACTCTTTGAAGAATTCCTCCCATTCCAAGCTAGTTTCCTTCATTGGAATCCTGTGTGTGATCAACAGCTCTCCCTCATTCCCTGTGTGACATTAAGAGCATGGGACAGGAGTTCATGAACCTGTTATTCCATGGCTACGGGCCCTCGAGCAACTCTTTTACCATGTACAGTGAATGTGCTGGGCTGCCTTTCTCCCAATAGACACTGACATTGAGCTATACATCCTAGGCACTTGTCATGATTATCTCATTTTGTCCACTTCATGACACCAGAGTTGCAATTCTTTTTATGGGCAGGGAAACTGAGACCTATGGTCACAGAGCTGGTGAATGGAGGGGCTGGGCCTGGAACCCAGTCTGGAAGTCTGAATCCAGCCTTGAATTCCTGCTTTTGTGCGAGCTGGTCACCCTGAGCCTGCTCCCAGTGTACTCACGCTGCCCCTCCACTCCATCACCCCCTCCAAAAGGATGCCCTGACTCACCTCCACCCTCCCACCTGCACATCGGAGGTCTTCACTTCCCTGAGTCTCTCTGCAGTCGGGACCCTTTCCTGCCCATCTGGACTGGGGGGGGGGCATCTCCCCAAAGGCCCCTGGGAAGGCCGTATCAATCCCTTTAGTCTGGCTGGGCTTCTGCTTCACACACTAGGAACCTCAGAGTGGGGAGAAGGGAAATAGGGCCAGCCATATTCCAAAGCCTGAGCAAATAACTTCCTGGCTCAATGCGTCAGTTTCCGCTTCTGAAAAATGGGTTTAATAACAGCCCTCTACGCCCTGGGGCGGAGGGAAGACTAAGGAGATAAAGTGGGTGTGGGCCGCGCTGGGGACACCTCCTCTGCTTTTATTACACCCACCGCCTCCCCATTGCCACTCTTGGCTTCCTCTTGGGATGCTAGGGCGATGTGAGACCCCTTCTCGGTCCTCTGGCCTTTTGGGGTCATCTCGTCTATCCTTTTGTCTAGCACAGTACCAGATACGTGGCAGACGCTTATAAATATTTGTTGACAGACTAATCAACTGACAGCCTCAGCAGGTCCTTTTTCCTTTACTTCTCTCGGTCCCAGTGACCCTCAAGCCCTACTCTGCTCCGGCCCCACCCACCTCTCAGCCAGGCTGCCACCTTCCCGGGGGTCCAGGTCTCTACTGGTTCCATGGCCGAGTCCGCCCGCTGGGATCGGCGCCCGCTGCGTCCCGCCGGCGCAGGAATTTCCGCTCCCAGAGCCCAGGGCTGGGGAGGGGCTGGGCTGGGCCCTGGGCGGAGCCACCAGCATACCTGGGCACACGTGGCTGGCCAGGTGAGGCGCTGCGACAGCTATTGGACCGCCGCCTGTCTGCCTCCTGCCCCGCCCTTCAGGCATCCGCGGGACAGCTGGGAGGATTGACCTGGGGGCGGTGCCCCTGGTATGTGACCCACGTGACCTCAGAGCTTGCCTGGAATCCGGCCCCAAACTGGCTTCAAATCACAGAACGAGACCTTGACCTTCCGGCTCCTCAAAAGGGGCAGAAATGTGAGCGGTGAGCGCAATAGCTGAGCACAGAGGTTAGGAAGCCAGTCCCTGGGAGCGAATGCCCAGCTCTGCAGCTTGCTAGCTGTGGAACCAGAGTCTAACCTACGCACCATGCATCAGTTTCCCTGTCTGTAAAATGGGCTCCAGTGCAGAATACCGAAGTTAATAGCTCCAAAACCTTTAGAACAGAGGTTTTTAGCCTCTCTTTTTTTTGTACCATGGATCCTTTGGCAATCTCATGAAATTTTGAGACCCTTTCTCAGAATAATGCTTTTAAAAGCATAAAACAAAATGCGGAGATTACATGGAGGTCAATTAATAAAAAAAAAAAAGTTAAAAACACGAAATTATAGTAATATGTTTTTATTAGCTTTAAATAAGAAAACTGGTAGGTTAAAGTTTTTTTCCTTTTCTAACAACATCGGTGTGTTGTCCCTCCGCTTGAATAAGAACATTAAACTAATGGGTGGTCTTTGACTCACCTCCTCGAAGGTGCTGACCAGCAAACAACTAAAGATAGAGAATGGAGGAGAGTAATGGAGAAGCCTGGGTTACTGGTGTGAGAACAGACAGAGTCCCTATTTGGTCACTGACCATTTACTGGACACAGAGGTGCCCAATAAATGGCACCTGTGGTGCAGGAGTGTCTAAAACAGAATGTGATTTAATGGCGGGATAATAACTCACAATTTTGAAATAGTATAAGCATAAATAATATTTTGAGATACTTGCAATAACTGTAATTCAATATAAAAATAGCTGCGATTTCTGTTGGGGACAAAGCCACAGATACTACAATCCATGTGGGAAAAAAGCAAATTTTGGTTAGAGGTTAGTGAAAATATATATTTTTTCCCATCCAAGTTTATGAGCTCCCTGAATTCTGGATTCAGGTTAGAAGCCTTCTCCTTAGACTAACGTCTGAAACATACTGTTTGCAGTTACCAGCATCAGAAGCAGCAGCAGCCCACCCCAGCCCAGGGTACTTCCAGGATTTTGGAATCAGAATCAATTCCACTTGCTGTGTGGCTGAGCCCAAACCCTATCCCTCTCTGAACCTATTTCTTCTTCTCTAAAGGAGGACACTTAGAACTTAGTTCTGTGAGGAGGTCCTTTAAGTATTTTGAAATCTGTAACATGGGGTAGAGCTTAGTTATTTCTTTAATTCTATGGGAAGGGGCCTGAGAGGTCTTCCCAGAGCCTACTCTTCTGACTGTGTCACCTTAATTTGAAATCTTTACCAGTGCCCCAAAACCTGGCCTTCGAAGCTTGTCACTATTTTGCCTGTAACCAAGACCTAAAGTCTGAATTTGGCCCACAGATGCCCATGTATTGTGGGTGTGTTCATTGTCATTTAATAATTTCATATACAAATTAAGCTATCTGAAACTTGGTTGGCTCTGTTGACCCCATCCCATCAAACATGATGCAGATCGGTGGCTGCATCCTTCAAAGAGGACTCCAGTTCACCAGGTCCCTGCAGACCTGGCTCCCTCATTTGTGAACCAGTAGGCTGCAGGTTTGCAATATGGCCCTCACCTCTCTGGCTTCGTCCTTTGCCTCACATCCTTGCATCCTGCACTGTGTGTCCCCTCCAACTTTCCTTCATGCCGAATCCTCCTTTAATGTTTTTTGCCTCTTTCTTCCAACAGCCTCCCTTGGCAGTCTGGGAAAGCCCAATAAACAGGCGTGTCTCCACCATCCTGATGTCATCGAACACCTACCCTGAGCTGGCATAAGGTACAGAGAAGCCAGGCAGTCTCTGCCCTCCCTGGACTCATAATCATGTAGGGAAGAAGCAGACAAGAATTCACCACTTGTACTCATGTCCTCCCTTAAAAGGACTGGGAATCTAATAACCACAACAGTGTCTTTACTCTGTGCCCTAGCACTTGGTAGGGCTAGGCAGTTAGGGGCACAGTAAATGGCAGCTTCTATTTTGAAGGTAGTTTTATGACTTTACAAAAGTTCTTTCTACATGCCGTAAAAATTTCAAAGGTTATTACACAACAGTAGGTCATTAAGTGAAAGGGGGACATGTCTTTTTCCTAGTGTGTCTTTATCTTATTCCCTAGTGGGGGCCACTGTTTTCTGTGTTCTCCCATTCTCTGTATGTACAGATACTCTTCATACTATTCTCAAATAGGCTTTTTTTCCCCCCATTTTATGAGATAATGCCAAGTAAAATAATACATGTAAAGTACTTAAAATAATGCCCAGCAGTCAGCTACTAATTTTTAGCAAATTATGGACAGCTTTCTTAATCGGTATATGCAAATCTTTTATTATCGTCCCCAAGCTGAGGGTAGGAAAGTCCCTGCAGGAACTTGTCTTGGGGAAAGGGGTAATATATGTCCTCTCCAAAGGTGGTTGATCTAACTAAAAACAAGTGAAGAAAGCATACCGCTGTTTGTTGAGAGCTGATTGGTGACATCCAATCATCTGAGGTAGGGCAGGGCTGGGCCCAGGGCTGCAGAGGCCGTCTCAGTACCTGGCCCTGGCCTGAGGCTCCTGAGTGCTGTCAGACAAGGCCTCTCTTGCCTACCCAGCTTGACCTCCCCATGGGTGGGGGAGGTGCTGCTCAAGCCTGATGCTGATCGCTACTGACAGCTGCTCCTAAGGCTGGCAGGGGAGGCAGGCGGGGGAAGGGACCAGATTTAAAGGTCCAGCTGCCCCGCCCCTTGCCAGACCTGGGGCAGACACCGGTGAGCATCCTTTAAGGGCATGGTTGTCATGCATATGGGGAGGTCAGGAACCTCTATTCTCTGATTTCCACTTCTTGATAGAATGAATACCGCTGGTCCTCAT